AAGTATATTTTTAACCAGTGACAAAGTATCTATGGCACAAATAAATAGTAGTTACACTACAAAAATTAAATTATATTCATTTAAGGGAGCTCTGGCGGCCTAGTGGCAAGATGCTGCATTGCAATCCCAGAGGTACGCAGTTCAAATCCATCAGATGCTCTGCTGGAGAAAGGAGGGGGCAATCTCCTCCTGTATGAGTCAGATCTGATTTGACGGTACACGTAAAAATAATACAATAAAAGTAAAAAAAAAAAACCCAACAAAAAACAAAAAAACCCCAAACAAACAAAAAAATTCTATTCATTTATATCTTCCTTTTATTTTTATCATTGTTATTATTATTATTTTGTGTGTACCATCAAATTGGATCTGACTTGCATAGGAGGAGATTGCCCCTCCTTCTCCAGCAGAGCATCTGGTGGATTAGAACCACATACCTCTAGGCTTGCAGTGCAGCTTCCTGCCACTAGGCCACCAGAACTCCTGTATATCGTCCTTGTTTAAAAAGAGTTTAATCATAAAGGATAACATTTGCCTTCTGTAATATCATTGGCAAGCAAGAAGACATTAACAATATTTTAATTCTTTATATTTGGAGTTTCTTTGCTTATCATAGAAAATAATCTTCCTAAAATAATGACTGTAAAATTCCTTCCCATGAGTACCACACTTATGTTAATGGAAAACACTTTTGCCTGAACTTTCTGCATGTGTGTTAGAGAGGATCAAAGAACACACGGTAGTTCAAACCAGTACAGCTTTTCTGGCTGCACCTCACCGAAATGATGGGTTCATAGTTGTCGTTGATAAGTGCCATCAAGTCGCCTGTGATCCATAGCGACCTTATAGACAGCAGCTCTGAAGCTCGCCCTGCTCTGAGCCAGTCTCACTAATTCCGACACATCAACCTCCACTGCCCTAATCACTGTTATCAATCCATCTTATCTGGGGTCTTCCTCTCCTGTGCTGTCCCTCCACCCTTCCAAGCATGATGTCCTTCTCTAAAAACCTGGCCACACGCCCAAAGAATGTGAGATGGAGCTTCA